ATAGAATGAACCTTTAATGCCCCCAAATAGTCATGCAAGTCATATTTCTACAGGAATATTACATAGTTCTCGAAGTCAATAAACTTATTTCACAAAGCCATGCTGTGTTTTTGTTTGTTTGTTTTTAATTTCTGATGTAAGAGTGTTTTCTACAAGATTAAAATTGTAAATGTCTATAAATATGCATATTAAGCTATTAATTCAGAATGAGGTCTTGTACTGAGTGCAACACTTTTTCTTTAGCTGGCTGGGCAAACATGGCCTCTTTAAACACTTGACTGATTTTAACCTGTATTTGGTAATTGTTTGCATCCTATTTCCTCTTAACAATGGATTTCCCCATCTTACATACTGAAATTGGCTTACAACAAAATGTAGATTAAGAAATACACCTACGGATCCCTTCTGCTTAGTACAAGGCCTTATTTTTTTGCAGTGAATATTTTCCACAGCATATTATTTGAGAACACAGAAATGCTGGACCTCTCTAACAACTACAATGTCAGACTACATAGAGAAGCCATTGAAATCCACAAGCATGTGGACAATTTCAACAGAAAGGAAGAAACCATGAAAATGAATAAAATCTGGCTATCAGTATTTAAAAAACTCTAAAACCATGACAGTAAATAAAGAACACTCAAAAACAGGGGAATTCCAGACAAGAAACAATCAGCGCCATCTAATCACCTCCCAACAAAGGACTCCCCCAGGCAGTAAGAAGCCAGAACTTGAAAACTGCTAGTGCTTCTCAACCTTGGGTCCCCAGATGTTTTTGGCCTATAACTCCCAGAAATCCCAGCCAGTTTACCAGCTGTTATGATTTATGGGAATTGTAGATCAAAATCATCTGGGGACCCCAGGTTGATAACCACTATGCTAGGCTAATCAAGGTGGCCAATTGCTACATTCACACCTACCTCAAACAGACAAGACTTCTTTCTCCCACCCTGGCCATTCCACAGATATATAAACCACATTTTCCTAGTTTCCAATAGACCTCACAATCTCTGAGGATGCCTGCCATAAATTCAGGTGAAACGTCAGGAGAGAATGCTTCTGGAACATGACCATACAGCCCGGAAAGCTCACAACAATCCAGTGATTCCTGCCATGAAAGCCTTCGGCAATACAATATTTTCCTTCTTCTTCTATGTTGTAAGATATATATTTTTAAAAAGAGTGATAGCAATTATTTGGTGAAGGTCTCATATATCTTACAAGAGTCAAAATGGGGATGGGAAATATTCCTTTTTCTAAGATTTTCTATCTCCAAAGAAGGAACCTCCACCACACTCCAGGGCAGAGAGTTCCACTGCTAAACAGCTCTCACAGTTAGGAAATTCTTCCTCATGTTCAGGAGGAGTCTCATTTCCTGTAGTTTGAAGTATTGTTCTGCATCTTAGTATACACAGGGCAGCAGAAAACAAGCCTTTGTACTTCATCTAAATGCAAACTTGGGACCAAAAACAAACAAACAACCAATAAACCCAAAAGGAGACTTTTCAAAACTCTTATGACTACATTTAGCATGAGAGCAAAGGTCTGGCCATACTACCTATTAACTTTACACCTAGGAAAAAGCTGAAACAGAGATGGTGCAGATGTAAGCCAATGTTAGGAGATGATCGTTTAAGATTTGCAAACTGAATTAGGAACTATTGATAAAATCTCTCATGCACAAGGGAAGGACACACCAAAGGCATTGCAATGGCAGAACAAGTAATTATTGAAAAAAGAAGAGGAAAGGGGAAGATTTTAAAAGCTCTCAAGCATGTAACATGATGGCTCTTCATCATTTACCTACTGTCCTTTTGGCAAAAGCATCTTAATTTTACTACTGTAGAGAATGAGATTCAGCTCAAAAGTAAAGCAGGGATAGGAAAGTAATTGAACGGGGATTCAAGTGTTGATCTCACTCCTATAGAAATTTGAGTCTGACTTTTCAGTGACCTTTTCTAAAACTGATTATTATGGTGATTTGTTCACTGTTACAAAAACTATTTCCTTTCCTTTGACAATGTAATGGCTACGGACAGCGTTTTCTTTCTAAACGATATACTAAATAACGGCAGTTAAATCTTATATGGAGATGTAAATCAGTGAGTTTTCCAGTTATGTTGCTGTGAATCAAACTGAACTATATCTTTCTTGCTCTACTTCAGTACATTATTATTCCAAATAATTATACTTTTATTTTTAACGCTGCCAAAAATACAGAATTACTGGATTGTATATTCACCTGCTCTCAAACTGAAATAGGGACCTGCATTCTAAATTGGGGAGCTAAGTTTGATCAATGGTCTGAAGCACCAGACACCAATGATGAACTAAAAGAAAACCTTCTTTGATTGAGGCACATTTCCTCAGGGGTAATCTGGGAGGGAAAGTACTCATCTGCATATCTTCCCTCTTTCTGTTACACTTTATCTCCTTCCTTCCTTCCTTCCTCCTTCCCTCCCTCCCTCCTTCCTTTCTTCCCTCCCTCCCTCCCTCCTTCCTTCCGTCCGTCCGTCCCCTTTCTGCCTAAGAGGTTGCCAAGGAAGGGAGAGATCTGACCTTATAGAACAGAGTTTCTCAAACTGTGCTCCTCCAGATGTTTTGGACTTCAGATCCCATAATTCCTAACAGCTGGTAAGATGGCTGGGATTTCTAGAACACCTGGAGGAGCACAGTTTGAGAAACACTGTTCCAGAGGAACTCTGAACTCTACCAATTCAACCCAAAGGTCATAACATAGGACATTTGGTCCACAGGTTGCCCTCCATAGTATATATTGTGTATTCAGTATACATGGAGGTAACCTGGAGGCATCAAGCTGGCAAACTCCAAAATCCATACCAGGTACTGTTAGATCTCCACAAAACTTCTCTGACTTCCTCTTGGTGTTGTCCCTTGCTTTCTTGGAGCACCCAAGCAATGACAACAGCAGGGAGGATGGGAAAGTGGGAAATCTCAATTCACCTTCTTCTGTGCTTATTGGCAGTGGAAACACTGAGGAAATAGGCAGGGATCATAGTGGCAAGGAGGTGGGCTCAATCATGGAGAGCACCTTCTGAGAACGTTTTGTCCTCACCCCCAAATCTGCATTTGGCACTGATTTTGGACTGGCTACTCCCAGTATCCTATCCTATAATCAGTGGTTCTCAACCTGTGGGCCACCAGATGTTTTTGTTGTGGTTCGGCCAGCTGATGAAGATGAGGGGTTTGGGGGTGAGGGTTCTGTGGGTGCCCAGACAGAGGGGGTCTTAGAGAAAGATAGTTCTCCAGCTGAAAGAACGGAGGGGTTTTTGGAGCAAGATGCTGTGGCTGAGTCAAAGTGTGAGAGTTAAACTGATTTGGAAGCCAACAGGCAGGGAGGAGAGGATAACATGAGCTCACCCAAGGAAGCAGCTGGCTTAGAAAGAGATACCAGGCTGCCTCTGAAGGGGCAGAAATTCTGGTGTAAGAAAAGCCATGGGAAAGAGAGGCAGAAGCAGATTTCTCAAGGTCAAAGTAATATGTTCATGTTTTGCGGCCCTTAAATTAGGGAGAGAGCTGCTAGGATTTTAGATCAAGCAACGTCACTACTGGAGTGAGAAACTCCTGTGTTGTCCCTGGTTCATGCTTTAGCTTAAGGCCCAAGATTCCTGGTCAAGTTTTGCTTCTGGGTTTATGGATTTAGCTATGGATTCATGCTCTTGTTTTGTTCCTTGTTTCCTGGATTAATGTTCATGTTTTAACTCTTCTTTTTTGGATTTATCTATTGCCTTTGGGACTTGCTTTGTTTATTAACACTTGGGTTTTTACCCTATTATTTGTGTAAGGTGCCGTTGGCCCTTTCTTATATATGTTTTATCAATAAACTGTTTATTACCACATCTGGCTTCCTGGTGAGTGCTGTGAGCAAGGTCAACTCCTGCTGAGGTGCAACAGCTTTGGCCTTCAACTCTGGTTGAGCTGGTAAACTGGCTGAGATTCTGGGAGTTGTAAGTCAAAACAACTGGGGACTCACAGTTGAGAACCACTACTATAAGTATTTAAGTCTGTGATACCTTACTACCTGAAGTTTGCATGCCTGAGGTAATATATTTCCTGTAAAGGAAATGGCAAAATCAGCACAACGTTGACCTCTCAGCATTGCCCAAGCAACAACTGGGAATGAATCTGCTACTAGCAATGTAAGACAAGGCTGCACATTTAAGAATGCTTATATTCTAAATATCCCAGTTATGAAGCACCAAAGTTTCTGAAACCTACAGAAATTCAAAACATTTTAATTCTGTAATGTAACTCCTTAGTTATAATTAGAAACTTGTTGCATTAGATTATATTTTCCATTGCTAAAAGTGTTGGATCTTTTAATTAAATCTTTCAATTAAAAGCAGCTATTCTATATTAATATAGGAAGGTAGCAAAATAAGGAAAAGCAGGTGGGGGCATAATGTTTGTATTTACTCATCCAATGACCTGGAACTTCAAGGTTAATTTGTTTTGAGAGCGTACAAAATTTAATTCAGCAGCAGAGATGGAAAAAGGCAAATAGTAAGATCTCGGAAAGCTGCAATAGTAACTAACACAACCTTTGGCTATCTTAATCCATCTCTGTGATACTTTCAAACACTTCGTGTGTTCCGACAAAGGCCAGGACATTTTCTTTGGCTGCCTTGAGGGATGTAAATTATCTATTCAGGAGATCCTGTATATATCTGCAGAGAATGGAAACAGCAGAGGGCATTTCCCATAGCTTTAAGCCCAGTGCTATCCCATCCGAACTAAGTGGCTACGTCCCAGTATCTGATGGGTTGATTATGCCATTTACTTCTAATAGAAGGGAAACATCTCCTTCTGGAGTGTTTTCCTCTGTTTTACCTCTACAGAGAAGATAATGAACAGATCTTACAAGGAAAGGGTTTTGGACTATAGATCACATACATGGGCTGCGTTTCCATATTGAGGTCTATGCTGCATAAATGTATGCATATTCAGCTGTGTAGCAAAGGGAGTGTGGAAACTTCCTAGTGAATTGTGAGATGCGTATTGGGGTCTCTTAATGCATATTAGCAGTCCCTACATGGTGTCCCAATGCTCATGGGGCACTATTAACATCCATTGGCAATCTATAGTCTTTATCTTGATAGGCATCAGGAGCACCTGATGACCAGTGATGACCATTGTGCACCAGTCTCAATGTACAATGGTCATTTCACTGGGTCAATTATGTCATGGTGGACCCTTGTTTGTTGTTCATTTGTTCAGTCGTTTCCGATTCTTTGTGACCTCATGGACCAGCCAACACCAGAGTTCCCTGTCGGCCCTCACCTCCCCCAGCTCCATCAGAGTCAAGCCAGTCACTTCAAGGATGTCATCCATCCATCTTGCCCTTGGTCGGCCCCTCTTCCTTTTTCCTTCCATTTTCCCCAGCATAATTGTCTTCTCTAAGCTTTCCTGTCTCCTCATGATGTGGCCAAAGTACTTCAACTTTGTCTCTAATATCCTTCCGTCCAAAGAGCAGTCGGGCTTTATTTCCTGAAATATGGACTGGTTGGATCTTCTTGCAGTCCAAGGCACTCTCAGAACTTTCCTCCAGCACCACAGTTGAACTGTGGTGCTGGTGGACCCTTACTGAATTCAAATGTGAAAATGCCCAGTTCTGTTTTCCTGTAGACACAAGTTCCACACTGAATTCCGACCTATGACTCAGCATCCTACATGCCTGGGGCTTATTTATTTCTCCCTCTTGCTCATTTTTTAGGAAGGCTATATTTCATAGGTGATCATCAAGAACATCTATCTACCACTATTTTACTCACAGTAATATACAACCAGCTCTGCACATGCACATGATAGGTCATGGCCAATAGCCCTGGCTTCAGACAAGAGTTCATCAGCTTCCAAGCAATTTAAGACAGTATCTTAGGATGACATCATTTCTGAGTGGAGATCCTGGTAAAGGGAAACAGTATTTTTTTTTCTTGTGCTATGACAAACATGTTGATATTTGGACAGTCATAATTGTTCCAGGTTACCATGGCACATGACTGGAACATTTGTCCATTACTGTAATTGTGAAGGAGAACTTGGGAACGTTCCCTTTTCCCAGTATAACTCCAATAATTCCCACTGGCCATGCTAGCAGCAGGATTCTGGCATCCTGATAACCCAAAAGCAACTTTTCCTAACTTTGCTAAGAAATTGCCAGATGATGAGCACTATGGAGGATTAAGCAACCCGGTCACACCTAAATTATCAATCAATACTGGAATTGGAAAAGTCAATTTTCTACATCAAAGCATACAATATTCATAGCTTTGAAAGTACAACTATATGCCACCAATCTCTTTCATCCCCGAAACTAGACTTTGATTTTTTACATCATTAAATACCTATCAGAATAATTTTCCCTTGCCGGTCTTTTGGTTGTTGATGATGACGAACTCAGCTGCAATTCTACTGAAAAGCTACTCCTATATTTTTTGAAAACTAAATTGCAATTTCACATTTTAGCCTACTAGTTTCATCAAGATCCTTGTTTCCTATTTGAACACACTGGTAATGGATAATGCTAAACTTGGTGTTAAAATCTCACTCAACATCCCCAAGAACTTTACATTTTGCCCTTGGCAACAGTCTCTGATCTATGCAAGCTGCACAGTTGTGTCCAATCCCAGTACCCATCATATCTAGAAGCAAGAATTAATGAATGTGCCATTTTCCAATGAGCAAAGATCCCCAAAGCTGTCTTCTGGTGGGATAAAAAAGGCAGAGTATCATTAAGGGCATGCACACCGAAGGTATAATCACGCAGCTATGGAAAAGCTCAAAAAGCTTGTCCCTTATTGTGCAGCAAAAAAGGACATTTTGCCTATGGAAAAAAGATAGAGGGATATTTTTGTTGTGTCCAACCAACCCCGCTTCTTCATTCTTCTATGACAACACAGGTCAGCAATCTGCTTGCTACCTGCCTTCCTATTTCTGCAGAGAGCAGTAGTTTCAAGGAGAACGCCTACTAAAATGGAGAGTGTAAAATCAGTGAAAGGCCCATCGCGTTCCCATTGAATGCAGACAAGTCACAAGTTGTTTCTGTCTTGCCTTTTTAAGCTTGTAGATGATGACTACGAAATTGCAGCTATTTGAAAGAGCCGAAGCAGGCGTCATTAGCTTCTAAACTGAATCCCTCAGAAAGAGCCAGATAAATAAAAAGGAAGCGGTATTGAGTGTGTTTGCTGCGCAGCACTCTTTTTTAAAATCAAAAAGAATGTTTTTTTCCGTGTTTTCTTTTTGGATGTACAGTCTTAAATACTAATATACTTGTTAGAGCTGTCTACTGTGTTGAAGTGTAAAGGTCTGATGAAGAGGTTCACCAGAGAGAGGCAGATTTCTTTTTTTATTGGTCTTCTGTTTTACTGCCACCCTTGAACTTCACCACCATGACTGTTATGTTGTCAGGGCATCCTCTGTAAAAAGACTGTAGGACTATACTTTTGGCTCCAAAGTGTGGCTCATCCAAGCGTTCCTTGATGAATCGTACAGCCTCCTCGTTGCTAAAGGCATCCCATAGCCCATCGGAAGCTAAGATCATGAATTCAGGCTGGAGCTTGTCCAGGTCGAAGGTCAGGATGTCTGGGTCAGGAATGACGACGTTCAGGTTCTTCAGGGGATAATCTCCAAGGGAGCGGGACATGGCCAGGATCCCCTGAACACGCCAGGAGCCATTAAAGCTGATGAAGCCACCTGGAGAGGAGAGAAACAAATAAGTAAGCAAACCTTCTGTTAAAATTACTTCTGTATGACATTCATTTTCAGAAGATCCCAAGCCTCTGTAAAACAATAACTGGAGGCACATTATATTTTTCATTTCTTTCTGAAGTCTTTTTTCAACCAGATAACAATAATCTTCACATTTTTGCATTTTATTTCCAGGAGGAAAAAAACAACAACAACCATGTTCCCATAATGAATTTTTGTGCCTGTTGCTAAGACACAAACAAGGAAAAACGCACAGGGAAGTTGATCTTCTTCGTGTTTGGAGAGCTACCCTATTGTTAGCATAACACATTGCATTAGTTAACAAAAACTTTCAGCAAAAATCGGAGTTCTTATGTAGCCTACTTTAAAGTCAGAAGCAGACCTTATTCATGGTGTGAGAATGTGACCAAAAATTAAATTACCAAATAAAGTTCTCCCTCGCTCTAATATGTAGGGATGTTCAACCTCTCATTATGCTATCCTATTTAGGTCTATCCTCTTTGGTTCAAATTAATTACCACAATCATATATGGGATAATATAATATACAGGATGATCCCTGTATATATGGGGGATATGTTTCTAGACTTCATGTGGATATGCAAAACCACAGATAAAAGCGAACCCTAACGAAATGAAGGATTTCTGGCTCAAGAATACCATAGATGACCTCATCAAATTCCCCTAAATCAGCATCCTACTGCGCTGCCACCCTGTCTTGGGGATGAAGCCCCACGTTGGCCATCACAATGTTGTGTGACTACCGGCAGAGGCCCTGCCCCCAACAGAGGTGGAAGCGATGCTAGATGTTTCCTGACATCCATGTGCCAGAAATGATCTGTGCTGTGCACAAATCCTCTGCAGAATGGCGACATTTCCCATGTGTGATGGGGAGAGCGTTGCCAAGAGGGAGTTGCATATGGGGCGATAGATTTGCCCTGCTGCCCCTCTCTTTTCGTTGTGAAACCAGGCGAAGCAGGACGCTTCGTCTGCCCTTTGTGATAAAGCTCAGGGTCATGCTGGAGGATCTAAAATGCAGAAGAGGGAATATGTTGTCAAAAATTGATAAATAAAACTGCTGATATTTGATCCATGGATATGAGGGTCATACCATAAGAGGTCCACATGTGAACCAATGTTAGGCTGAGCCATATACTACCCTCTGGCTTACTGCACTGCCTCTGAAGCCTCCCCACTGCATGGCCATTCTGTGCTTCACGTGGAGCAAGTGGATAGCAGAAACATCTGTCAACATCCCTAGAACCAGATGCAAAATTATTACAAGCAGTGTTAAGTCTTCTGGAGAACTAGGATGATTCTCAGTGCTGATACCATCATCTTACATCTAGCTACAAAGTCGTGGCCATGTGCTTCTTCTGCCATGTTTTCCACAAAATACAGAATAGCTGTGCTGGGGCTTCAGAGGTTGGTCAGTAAATGTAGTTGGGGACTTTGGGCAGAGACAGGGAATTCCAACCCTGCAGCACACAACAAAGGATAGATGCATATGTAATCCCAGCCAGAGGCTGATATTATCAGATAACACACGTATTGACCCAATGGCATGAGTATAGACTCCTATATGTTACTTGAGGGAATTCAGGGAGGATAACTTGGCATGGGAGAAACCAAGGCATTCTTGGTATGATCCCCTCACAAGCAATACGTTCCACCCCAAGCTCACAATCCTATCCACATTTCCTCTGCAGTTAAATGTGCATAGGCTTAGACTGTAAAAAGAAGAAGAAGCATTTGAAGGAGAGAAAAAAAACCCCAAACATTTTGAATGGCACGAAGGATTAAGAGAACCAGAGTAAATGGATTGTGAAGATGATCCCCCTTGGAGTTATTTCCGTCCCAGATCTACTGGTAAATCCATTTTACATTATGCATTCTGAAATCCTAGAGTTGTATGAAATACAGGAAACATCTAAACACTGATATAAGGAATTGGGTTGTGTTACTATCCATGCCAATACCATTCAAAAGGCTGACAGACAGATTCCTGGAGGCAAGTACCCTCTTGTATTTTTTTTTTCTTCAGCTCTCCAATTGGATATGACAAATTGCTAAAAGCACAAGAAAACTCAGCCTTCATTGCTGCAGTTTGCCGTGCAGGGAATGTTCTCGTCTGTGCTCAGGCAATTTGCCCTCGAACTCTCATCAAGCCCTCTTTCTCCCTTTGGGGCAATTCAGGAAGAGGTTCACGCTCATTTACAAAGATTTATGAAGGAGACGGGACATCAGGCACACTAAAGACCCGAGCCTCACTCCAGGGCAGGAAGAAAAGAAAAATACACACAAACAAAAGTTTATCCTTCCTCCCATGAAAGAGGCCTCAGTTGAGCTGTAACGGTAATGATCCAGAAAAGTCTTGTGAAAATAATAATCCCAAGCTTCTGAGTTTAGAGAAGAAAATGGAAGAAAGGGGAAAAAGTTCTGGGTCCAAATAACAACACCTCCATTAAAGCCAAGGACATGGCACCTCAGATGCTAGTAGTGGTGTGTGGGGCAGAGAGTATAGGAAATGTTACAACCCCCCCGCAAATTGACATCACCCCAAGCTACATTCAGAAGGATTTCATCATTGTTTAAAGCAGCAGCAGTCCAGGAACAAGAACTAAGTTTCTCATTGCCCCGACCTCAATTTCTTGGCTTGTAGGTTCTATTTTAATGTTCCTCCTTTTTTCCTCTCCTTTCATGCAGGTAGGAGACAGGCAGAGGTTGGGATACCGATGTGGTTGTGGGAATTGAGGGAGGATAACTTGGCATGGGAGAAACCAAGGGCTGAATGTCATCATGAGAGAGGCATTGGGGATACTTTCTGCTTATCATTCTCAACACCCACTAGAACAGTGGTTCCCAACTTTTTTTTGACCAGGGACCATTTGACCAGGGTCCACTCTCCAACATTGGTACTAAACGGGTTACAAATCAGTTTTTGGTAAACTTGAGATTCAGTTTGGTTATCTGGGGTGCTTATTCAGAAAACTGCATTGGATAGACCACAACAGCTCTAGTTTCTGATACAGAACATATGCCATCTATTAGTTGCCAACTGCTTGCCCATAGAAAACCATATTTAATAATCTAGAGTTGATGTGGTAGTAGTAATCTTTCGTGGGTAGTCAGCCTCTCCCCTTCTGACATCCCCGTTGCCTCGGCACTATAAGAGGGTTTTGCGAGACCAGTTGTTTTTGTTGCCACTTGGTTTCGAGGCAACGGTGTAGTAATGGTGAGGTCATGGACCATATTTTCCTTCTTGCGGACTACTGGTGGTCCACAGACCACAGGTTGGGAACCACAGCACTAGAATGAAAAGTGTGATAGGGAAAATGGTTGTTCAAAGTGCTGTGCAGTGGCTTGAGCACTGGACTATAGAGAGTACAGTTTGCTTCCAATTCAGCCATGGAAACCCAGAGAGTTTCTCTCACTCTCAGAGGAAAAGCAAAGTCCCTCTAAGCAAACCTTTCCAAGAAAACCTCATGATAAGTTGGCCTTAGGATTGCCATAAGTCAGAAGCAACTTGAAGGCAAAAGAACAACAACAGATTGGCTCCTCACCATTCATACTTCCCTCTCTCATGGCATCACACCATCATTTTCTTCATTTCCCCTTCATTCTCTTTGCAGCGACTCAGTGGAAAGGGGAAGATTGGGGAGGGCAACTTTTGATAGCCTTAATGAGTTAGTGGTCAAAGGGTCTTTGGCTTCCCAGAATGCCCTAACTCAATTTATTTTTATTTATTTACAATATTTACACCCCACCCTTCTCAATCCCGAAGGGGACTCAATGTGGCTTTACACACAGGCAACTATTCAATGCCTTAAAACATACAATTAAAATAAGCATTTAAATTAAGATTAATATTAATACACATTAAAAAAGTAAAAAACTTACAACCATTATTAAAACGATGCCATACACAATCGTAATATAGGGCCATTCTAATAGTCATTGCATATATTCCATATCCTTCTATTTCACTACTCTGAAGGCTTGATCTTAAAGCCACATTTTTGCTCTCTTTCCAAAGGCCAGGAGAGAGGGGGTTGTTTTGATATCACTGGGGAGGGGCCACCACTGAGAAGGCCCTGTCTCTCGTCCCCACCAGTATAGCCAGCGAAGGAGGCAGGATTGAGAGCAGGGTCTTAATCTCTGAGGAGATGCATTCGGACAGGTAAGCTGGTACAGCACCTTGAATTGTGCTTGGTAGCAGACTGGCAGCCAATAGAGCTGACATAACAAGGGGGTTGTGTGCTCCGTGTATACCACTCCAGTGAGCAATCTGGCAGCTGCCTGTTGGACCATTTGAAGCTTCCGAACAGTTTTTAAAGGCAACTCCACATAAAGTGTGTTGCAGTAGTGTATTCTGGATGTAACCAGAGTGTGGACTATCATGGCTAAGTCTGACTTCCCAATGTACGGGCGCAACTTTGTGAAAGCTGCCTGAACACCGCCGAACCTGGGGTTCCAGGCTCAGCTATGAGTCCAGGAGAACTCCCAAGCTGCAAATCCCACCCAACATAGGCTGTAAACCTGTATCCTGTTCAGCCTTGCAACTGACCAGGGGTGCTCTGTCTTGTCTGGATCCAATTTGTTTGCTTTCATCCACATATAACTCTACCTATAGATATGTGGATTACCAACTGCTCCATTGATGCAACTGTCTGGACCCTTTCACACCATAAATTCATATCACTATGAATCCACTTCCCCTGGCATGGCTTCATCCTGTTGAGCCCTGAGATTTGCAGTTTGGTGAGGCACTAGACTGCACTCTAATTGAGAATTGTAAACACCCTCCCTACACTACAAATCCCAGGACAAATCTATGAACTTCGTTTTAATATTGGAAAGTAGAAAAGCTTGGTCTGAAATCATATTAATTCCATAGATAATTTAATTGCACGTTAATGCAGTCTTATATGTTTTTCTATATGACCTTCCAAGAATTTTAACTTTATTTTAATTGTTGTAAGACAC